CTCAGGCAATCCACTCACCTCAGCCTCCCAAAGCGCGGGATTACAGGCTGAGCCACTGAGCCCGGTTCATATTTTCTTTCTAAGGTCACCCTCTCCCCATCCCTGTCCCTTAAATACACACACACACACACACACACTCTCTCTCTCTCCAAACTCCACACACACATAACACAACACACACACACGAAGGGGCGGCTTGCAGGTTGGTTTTCTGCTTCCAAAGGCACAGTCTTGGGTCTTGATACAGTATGACCTGCGATCATTCCCGGGAACAAGCAGGATGGGATGCAGAGTACAGGGGTGGTCTTGGCCCTTGTTTACTCAGATGAAGTAAAGAAGTCAAGAAGTTCTCGTGCAACCCTAGGGTGGGTGTTGGAGCTGTTATAAGACTAGGCCACTCCTCTACCAGCTCCACTGCTGCTCCCTCATCCATCTGTTAGCCTGGTCCTTCCTTGGTCATGGTCTTGTGCAAAAGCGGTGCCCATGGCAACTCCAGGTACCCCCGCCCCCTGGCAGCCACATGAGGGGTCACACCAGCCCAGCTGGTCTCACGGCCAGCTCTTCAGTGGTGCTGTGGCCACCTTTGTTCCCAGAAAATGTCAGGCAGGATAGCTGGGAGACTTCCATGCAGATGTTGAAATGATACATCAGGCCTGAGGTGTTCGAGGAGTCGGTGTGAGATTTGGAACCATTGTCTGTCCCCACCGATTGCATCTAGTCGAATGCAATGCTGCTTGAGGGCCACAGAGTTGACTGACGTCACTGAGATTTTTTTTTAAGTATCTGAAATAAGAAACAAACAAAACCTTTAAACCTTTTAAAACCTTTAATTATATTTTAATTTTTTTTAGAGATGAGGTCTCACTGTGTTACCCAGGCTGGTCTCAAACTCCTGGGCTCAAGTGACCCTCCCTTCTCACCTTGATCTCCCAAAATGCTGGGATTACAGATGTGAGACACTGTGCCTAGTCCTCTTTTTTTAAAACCCCCAAATCATTGTTTTTCACTTCACTCTGGGTGTGAACACAGATGAAGTAAAGAAGTTCTCATGCAAACCTCATATCCTTTTGTTTTCTGTCACTATGGTCACTGCCTTTCTCCCTGTGAGGCAGCTTTAAAAATCTAAGCCATCAACCCCATCACTGGACTTTTCTTGGGGCCTCTGAAAATGCAGCAGAGGGCTTCTTAGCTGTCGCTAGCAGGGTCTGCAGCACTGCGAGGCTTCACGCAAATTGCTTCCAGTAAAATGTGGAAAACCTGACAGAAGCTTGTCGGGGAAATTGGGATCTCTTCTCTGCCTAGCATTATTGGTAGGGAAGCTAATTAGATGGCCTGATAGGCATTATTTACTCCTGCAAAGTAGGAAATGGGTTACTGCATTAATAAGCTCACGGTAAGTGTGGCATCAATGGAACATCTTGTGTACAGAAGAGAAAAAATTGTTATTTCAGGGGAATCTTCCTAATTTTCTATTATTTGCATTTATATGGATTGGTTGGAATAATAAAACACCAAAAATATAATTGGAAAAATTCACTTCCCACTTCTAGATCTAAAATATCATTTTAACCTCAGGGGAAAAAAGGCCTATAAAAAAGTATTTGCACTCCAAAAGTTGCAGCAGATGAAAAGCTGGCAGGCAGGAAAATTTGCTCTCTGAGAAAAATTGTACCTCTTGCAGAGGTTTTAGGAATAAACTGTTTAAGACACACACACACAAAAATACTTGCAAGTCACGTTTTTAGAGTGCAATTGAAGAGGTGACCAAAGGTAGCCTCTCCTTTGGGGAGAGTGAGTTCTAGCAAAGTAGACCTCATTCAATACTGGGCATCATTTCTTCAGGTTTTTAAGCAAGCCAGCCTTTTCTCAAGCCTGTATTGATGGGGGGAGTGAGTTGGAGTGACAAAAGATGGTGATGACAGGGTCCTGGTGACCCATCATGCCCTCTATCACTAGGGGTGGTAGGGTTTCATTTTTAGACTGGATGCATCAGGCAATGCTTTGGAGGCTCTGGAATGTAGCACCCCAGAGATGAGTAACTTTTCAGTTACTTCAGTCAACTCTACCTGAATGTGATTGAGTTTCATGCTCCATCTGGAGAGATTTTTTTTTTTTTGAGGGGAAGGAGTTCATGAAGGCTATGAGTATCTGGGGAGATAGAATGCTGGTGTGGAGGAGGTAAGGACAAAGAAGGAGTTGGGAAGCAGAACACCAAAGACACCCAGACCACACAGACTGTGCTTGAATCCTTGACCTTTGTTCACTCAGCTGTGCTACCTTGTTCAAGCTTCTACACTCTTTTTCAGCCCAAGTCTCATCACCCATAAAATAGGGCTAGTATTGCATACCTTACAAGATTGTTCATCTGTTTATTTACTAATGTATTCACTTGACAAATATTTGCTGAGCTCCTACCGTGTTCCAAGGACAGTATGTTAGGCTCTGGAACTGCAGCCATGAAGAAAATAGACCAAAATTATTAGGGTGAAATGGGATTATAAAGTTAGAAAAAACAAAATGAATACACACACACACACACACACACACACACATAGTGTGTGTGTGTATATATAACCACATATATTTTAGATGGAGATAAGGAGAAACAGCAAGGAAGGGGAATATGGAATGCTGTGGAGTTGAGGTAGGGATGCAATTTCTGATACAGCAGTCAGGGAAGGCATCACTGAGAAGGATTAGTAAGAATTCCAAAATTCCTGGATGAAGTGAGCAGAGACAAGGTGGAAAGAGACGGCACCATACAGATAAGGAGGCTTCTGTGGGGCCATGTAGGATTTTTGTTTTTCCTCTGAGCGACATAGGAAACCAATGGAAAGTTTTGAGCAGATAAATGATCCTATCAAATGTATTTACAGTCTTCATAAATTCCCAAGAATGAGAATTAAAATACGCATACAGTAGCTTTCAATAAAAGTAGCAGTGATTCATTCTATAAATGACATCCAGAAGCATAGTTT